TTTACCTTTCTTAAATTCACCGATGCCTCAAGAGCAAATCATTTCTGAAGCAAGTGCACTGCCGTAATCTGAGGATACTACCACTCTCTCAGCCCCTGGTCTACAGGGCCTCTGACATCAACTTTTATCTGAAGCTGGGGGTGATGAAGGTAGGAGTAAGTTCAGCTGTGTTCACCCTAGAACACTGCTGTTCAAACTATTCTACAGAATCCTAGGGGCTTTGTGGAGGTGACTCAGGTCCCTTCTGTTTTAGCTGTCATATCCTGGGGTTTTAAATAATCAGATTTTGGTTGGATAAAGGGATCCTCCAAACTTTAAAGAGAAGTTTGAAGACCACTAGTGCAGTGAGTAGGAAGGTAAGACACAGGGAGAGATGTCTATCTCTCATGGAGGGTTATAGAAACGCAACCCCCACCACCCTTATTCTCCCCCTGCCTTTTGTTCTCTTGGCTCTCAACATGAAACAATAGTCACCTCTTTTCCAAGACCCAATAAGATAAATACACTAACTTCCTGTGCGCGCAGTAAAGAGGTATTTTAACAAACTTGATTCCTCCCTCTCTTTCAATCTTTAAATCTATCATCAATGCACGAAGTCCTGCCTATTTTATTTCCTACATATTTCTGGGGTCATTCTCTTTCTTCCATCTCTACTACCACTGCTCTGGTTCAAGTTTTCACCACTTCTTGTGCAGACTATTGCAACTGACTTCTAAATTATCATACTGACCAGACTTGAACTGCAGAATGTTTAGGAAGCAAATAATTAAGGTTAGTGATCTTAAAATCCAACTCCTTATGGGTTCTTCTCTATTCAAATCCTTTAACGACTCTTTGCATGCCCTTACGGTAAAGCCAAATCTCTAAACACAACCCACCAAACCTCCTTATATACACAGACACAGACACAGACACAGACACACACACACACACACACACACACACACACACACACACACACACACGATACCAAGCTCTTTATAATACTCCAAGTCATTTTACATCTCTTATTATTTACTTATGTTATTCCCTCTGTCAGAAATATTTCTCCCCTTCTTTATTGGGCTAAACTCCTGCTGGTGTTTGAAGGTTCAGCCCGGGTGTCATCTCCAGGAAATCTTACTCCCTTTGGCCAGGGATACCACCCCACTCTCTACCCTTAGAGCCTTCTGCATGTCTATCCTAGCATTTACTGCATTTCATTGAAATCATCTATTGACATAGATGTGGAGCCAAATAAAGCTAGGTTTTTTAATATTCCGTTAGTTTTTCAGCATTAAAGTTAGTTGAGAAGAAACTTCTAGTTTCCATGTATTTCTATTCATTTGAGGTTAATGCTTTGTACCACAGTTGGAAACACTATGCCTAAAGTGCACAGTTCATACATGAGTATACAGGGGATCATATATTTATGTTATACTTCTAAGTTTCTCTTCTTTAAGTCATGAACAATAAGTTCTAACATGTCTAGTTCTATATTGACTACATTGGAACCTCACCATCAAGCTGATTTATACAACACAAATATATATTATCTTGTCTGCTCTCAAATGTTAAAAGGCCAGGAAGCAAATTTTAACAATGATGAGAGCTATGCAGCAGTTTGAGACCCCCAGAGTGAGGTGGTAAAAATGGCAAAAAGCAGAATGGGCCTCCTCTGACCTCTGGGATCCACGTTTCATACGATTAGATGCTGCGCTTTGCCAAAGACCAGAAAATATAGTACAGTCTCTATTTGTCACTCACTCACATGATCAGATTATTTCCTATCTGCTCACTTTCAACTTCCACAACCCACTAGGACTCAAAATTCTTATTGTCTCTAACCTCCCTTATATTTTCACTTTCCTCATTACCCAGCTTCCATTCTGTGGTCAATAATCACTGCTTTGCATTCACCTTTACTTCCCTTCAGGCCACAGATAATATGTAAATAAATGAAAATGGCTGTGTTCCAATAAAACTTGAAATACTACTTTTCTTTAATGATAGTCTTTATTATTAAATAAATAATTTCTTTATTTCTATAACAATAAAGAGTTTTTCCACCTAACCATTTAAACAGATAGGAAACATTCTTTTTAATTTATTTATTTTTAATTATTTTATAAAGATGGGGTTTCACCATATTGGTCAGGCTGGTCTTGAACTCCTGACCTCAGGAGATCCACCCACCTCAGCCTCCCAAAGTGCTGGGATTACAGGTGTGAGCCACCGCACCTGGCTAAGATAGGAAACATTCTTAACTTGCAGGCCTTATAACAACAAGCAGTGGGCTGGATTTGGCCCACAGGCTGTAGTTTGCTGACACTTGTCCTAGACAACAATTTTGTACTTCCTCTTTTTGACTCAAGAGTCCAACATTTTCCCAACCTTGCTTTCAGCTGATAACTTTTCTTTCTTTTCACTGAGCTACCTGCAGAAAACTTATATCACTACCTCTATCCATCTAATTATATCAGTGTCTTTACACTCTGGCTTCTCTCCTGCTGATATTCCTGGTAAAGATCAACCTGCATTACCAGACTTGCCTACTCAAACATATCACTTCTTCCCCTATATCATCAATTATTTCCCTTTCTACTGGATCTTTCTTTTGAGACAGGGTCTGGGTCTGCCATTCAGGCTGGAATGCATGGCGCAATCTCAGCTCACTGTAACCTCTGCTGCTGGGGCTTAAGTGATCCTCCTATCTCAGCCTTCTGAGAAGCTGAGATTACAAGGTGCATGCCACCATGCCTGGCTAACTGTTGTATTTTTTGTAGACACAGGGTTTCACCATGTTGGCAAGGCTGGTCTCAAACTCCTGAGCTCAAGCGATCTACCCGCCTCAAGCCTCCCAAAATGCTGGGATTACAAGCATGAGCCACTGTGCCCAGCCTCTTACTGAACCTTTCCCATCAGCATACAAATATGCTATCTTTCTCATATTTGAAACAAAAGATACCCTTGGCTGTACTTCTCCACCTCCAGCTAATACCCCATTCTCTCCTTCCCTTTATAGAAAGGTCCCTTGAAAGAGTTTCTAAGCTGATTCTTCATAGGTTCTCTTTCCATCCTCTCTTAAATCTACTCCAATCACACTTTTATGAAACTGCTCTTATAAGGCCCCCAGTGACTTCCATGTTTGTGAAATCAGTAAATTCTCAGCCCTCATCTCATTTGCCCTAACAAACAAGGGAGATTTGGTGAGTTGGGCAGTCCCTATTCCTTGAAACATTCAATTTTAGCCTCTAGAGCTTTCTACAATCTTAACTTTCCTTCTACCTCACGACCATTCCTTCTTAATCTTTGAGGATGCTTCTTCATTTCTCAAGGGATGAAGACCCCTCTCTCAGTTCTTAGTTCTCTTCTCATCTCTATTTTTACTTACTTGCTTGGTGATTTCATTCAGTCCCATGGTTTTAAGTACAATCTGTACGCTGAAAATTCCCATTTTACATATCTAGCCTGGACCTCTCCCATGAATCCAGGCTCATATATCTAATTGCCTACTACTTGAATATCTTATAGGCATCTCAGATTTAACACATCCAAAAGTGAGCTCCTGATTTCCCTATCAAACCTATTCCTCCTGCAATCTTTCCTATCTCAGTTAATGGCAACTCTATATTTTTGGACAGAATTTTGGGTAACTTTCAGTTGATGTGATGAATGGAAGCCTTTACGTGGAAGGAAGAATGGGAGAGATGGAACTGAATAGCTTCAAGAATAGGGAAGTAGAATCTTCATTGTGTCCTAGGTTTGTGGCTTACCGCTACTGTGATATTAGTTGAGTGACATCACTTCTTTCCCCCTATGCAGTTGGTAAGATAAAGAGAAAAAATAAGTGGGTATTGCAATTAAGACTGTTAGGGGGAAGTGTCCACTATTCGGGGACATTCTGAACTTAACCTCTGCCAGCTAAATGTGATCACAATGAGCAAGGACTAGACAAACAGAATGTACAGTAATCACAACACTGCTCCTGGCACCTGGATGTGCAGAGAGAACATAGTGGGCATCATCAGCTATGAGCATATGGCCAATGCTCTATCTCAGTGATTTCCATCTAGGAATGGGAAAAGCAGGAAAGAAAATCACTATAAATGATGAATGTTGTACACACGAACAGTATGAAGGAAGATAAAATATTGACAGCTATCCTAGGCTTCCCTACAACTCTTCCCTATAATTAACAAGCCATTTACTTGACTATTATTTCTCTCTTTTTTTTTTTTTGAGACAGAGTTTCGCTCTTGTTACCCAGGCTGGAGTGCAATGGCGCAATCTCGGCTCACCGCAACCTCCGCCTCCTGGGTTCAGGCAATTCTCCCGCCTCAGCCTCCTGAGTAGCTGGGATTACAGGCATGCGCCACCATGCCCAGCTAATTTTTTGTATTTTTAGTAGAGACGGGGTTTCACCATGTTGACCAGGATGGTCTCGATCTCTTGACCTCGTGATCCACCCGCCTCGGCCTCCCAAAGTGCTGGGATTACAGGTGTGAGCCACCGCACCTGGCTGACTATTATTTCTTATCTGAAACTCTTAGAGCCTGATGTGTCTTGGATTCAGAATTATTGAATTTTAGAAAGGTAATAGGTACAGACACTGTGTAACTGTATATTATGTGACTCCCCATACTCAAACACATTAATATTTCCCTAGTAAAATGCATAATACACCATACCAAGTGGGATTAATTATATAAATAGTTTCACATCAATTTAAAGATTTAGTTACCAAATGAGTTCAAGTTTACATAAGGTTTTGTGACCAAACGAGAACAAAAACATTTTGTTCTCAGAGCCCATGGGTTTCAGAATTGCGAATAAATGATTAAGGATCTGTACTAACCTCAGATCGGAAGATCTTGAGCAAGACAACTTTACTGTCAACTTTAAAATAAGTAAGAAACAAGCTATATGTAGCTCTCTGAAATTTCCTGAGCTTTTGGCAGAAGAGTAATACCTTCAGTGCCACAAGGTAAATCCAAAGACTTTTACAAGTTAATTCTTACCAGAAATGTGGAATCCATTTCTGCAGTCATCAGCACTATGCCTTTTTCTTCCTTAAGTTCAGGATAGTGATATAAAATCAGCTGGCTGGCTGCAGCTTCCCCTCGGGTCTGCAAGGTGGAATGCTTATCAAGGCTCAATAAGGTACCATCACAACAAACTGCAATTTCAAAGCAATAGGGAGTCTAGAGGAAACTCTGGCTCTTAACAGCTCCTTGGGTGGCTAGTGAGTTGGAGGACTGGTATGTGGTAGTAAGGTCAGGCCTGTAAAGGCACAGTGAAACTGACAGTTTGCACAGTGTTATTTGTGTCTTCAACTGGAAAAGGTTTGGCTTTTTTCCCAGAAAATATTTACAACAGGCAGTGAATCCGTCACTGTGACTATATGTTTAAAAACAAAATGGCACAAGCAGCTACCAAATCAAGTTCTAAAGAAAGTAATATGCCTGTGTAATTGCCACTTTTATGGACTAGTGCATTTCACAGCTGAAATCTACTCCCCTTGGCTGGCTCTGAAGACTGAGCTCTTTTAAGCTGCAGCAGGAGCTGGAGAGTTTGCACATGAGTCAGATTTGTAATGCGCAGTTATAAAATATAATCTGGGTCAGGGCTGGGGGCGTGAAGGGGAGAAGGGGAGAAGGAAATGGAAACACCATAATTTTATGAAGAATGATCAGGGCACTGGTTACTAAACCTCAAGTCTAGACCATGTAGAAAGGATGGGTTCAAAGCTAAAGTCCCTATATAGCACAGGAGGAAACGACGACATTCAAAAGAAGATTCCTGGACCTTATCTCTAAAATTTCAGCAAGAGTCTTTTTAATTATATATATCCAACGATCACTAGGGTACTTGTAATAGTTCATTTTTCTTTAACATACTTCTAATGTTATACTGATCATTTTTGTTATTATTCTAATATTATATTAATCACTTTTATTGTAATTATGCTTCTGGATCTTTCTCCTATACTTGAATATTAGCTCCATGAAGGCAGGGATCTTGTCTTGTAGATCTCCAAGCCTTAGCACAGTTCCCAACACAATCCCATAATATTTAAAAGTTAGGGTTAAATCTAGTATTTAAAAGTTAATATTGTTTTATGGGAAATAAAGAACAAAAAGGAAGGAAGCAAACAAAATAACATTTACTAAACAAACCATTTAGCATGTTGGAAGGTGTTGACTCAGTTAATAAAACACATTTAAGACCTGGAGCTCTCCTCAAGTGGCTTATAGCATGGGTTAAAAAAATAACTATCATAACTCAGGCATTTTTGTTAAAGTGAGGCACATGCAGCATATACAATTAGAGGTTTGGGGAAGTGACAAAAGAGAATCAGAAGTAGTCAAAGAAGGTGTTTTAGAGTCTTTTCCAATTTCTAGATATTGAGGAGGGCCTAGAAAACTAGCCCAACATAAAAAGTATGACAATTCATCAGTGCCACAACAATAAATGCTGGGAGTTAGCAGATATTCTATGTTCTTGGGCCTCAGCAAGGGTCCCTAGTCCCACCAAGAGGTAGTCCTCTTTAGAGGAAGGGCACAAGCCACCTACCTGAATATTTATAAGTGCAGTGAAGTGGAGTTCAGTACCTGTCCATTGTCCTACGAAGAACTCATAACCTTCCCTTCTTGGCAGAGCACACAGAAACTGTGCAAAACAGATACACAAGGAGATGGATGAATAAATAAAATCATTTGCTCTATATCCAAACCACCTTTAACATTTGTTCTGTTTCCTCCATATTTGGTTTTTAAAACACTTTTTTTTTTTTTTTTTTAAGAATAAAGAAGAGGAAGAAAGAGAAAGAGGAAGAGGGAGAGAGGATGGGGGTATTGCTTTATTGCCCAGGCTAGAATGCAGTCTAAATATGGGTATGCCTATAATTGTCCTTAATAATGGAGACATGAAAGAAAATGAGGGAAGAGAATAACAAACAAGGAGCCAACCAAGATTTCATTTAAACTTCTAAATTGATATGATGTGGTACTGATAAGAGTGTATATTTTGTATATTTAAAGTGGAGAGTTCCATAAATGTTAATTACATTTACTTGTTCCAGATCTGAGTTCAAGACCTGAATGTCGTTAATTTTCTGTCTCATTGATCTGTCTAATATTAATGTTGAAGTCTCCCACTATTATTATGTGGGAGTCTAAGTCTCTTTATAAGTCCTGTATGTCTAGGTATTCCTGTATTGGGTGCGTATATATTTAGGATCTTTAGCTCTTCTTGTTGTTGCATTGATCCTTTTATCATTATATAATGTCCTTCTTTGCTTCTTTTGATCTTTGTTGCTTAATTGTAACTTCTGCTTTTTATTTTTTTATTTTAGCTCTCTGTTTGGTTGGTAAATCTTTCTCCATCCCTTGTTTAGAGTCTTTGTGTATCCTTGAATGTGAGATGGATCTGGATGCAGCATACTGATGGGTTTTAGTTTTTTATTCAAATTGCCTGTCTTTGGATTGGGGGATTTAGTCAATTTAAATTTAGAATTAATAATAATATATGTGAGTTTAATACTGTCATTAGCTGGCTATTTTGTCCATTAGTTGATGTAAATTCTTCATTATATTGATGCTCTTTTTGATAATTTTTTTAGAAAGGCTGATACTGTTTGTTCCTTTCATATGTGTAGTGGTTCTTGCAGAAGCTCTTGCAAAGCAGGCCTGGTGGTGATGAAATCTCTGAGTGCTTGCTTATTCACAAAAAACTTTATTTTTCCTTCACATGTGAAGCTTAGCTTGGCTGGATGTGAAATTCTGGGTTGAAAGTTTTTTTCTTTAAGGATGTTGAATATTGGCCTCCACTCTCTTCTGACTTGTAGGGTTTCTGCTGAGAGATCTGCTGTAAGTCTGATAGGCTTCCCTTTGTGGGTAACCTGACCTTTCTCTCTGGCTGCCCTTAGTATTTTCTCCTTCATTTCAACCCTGGTGAATCTGACGATTATGTGCCTTGGAGTTGCTCTTCTTGAGGAATATCTCTGTGGTGTTCTCTGTATTACCTGGAGTTGAATATTATCCTGGCTTACTAGGCTGGGAAAATTTTCCTGAATAATGTCCTGAAGCGTATTTTCCAGCTTGGATTCATTCTCTTCGTCACATTCAGGTACACCTATCAAGCGTAGATTAGGTCTTTTCACATAGTCCCATATTTCTTGGAGACTTTGCTCAGTTCCTTTTTATCCTTTTTTCTCTCGTCTTGTCTTCTTGTTTTATTTCATTGAGTTGATCTTCGACCTCTGATATCCTTTCTTCTGCTTGATCAATTCGGCTGTTAAAACTTGTGCATACTTCACGTAGTTCTCGTATTGTGTTTTTCAACTCCACTTATTTTCCTCTCTAAATTTTGTATTCTTGTTGACATTTCGTCAAACCTTTTTTCAAAGTTCTTAGTTTCTTTAGATTGTGTTATAACAAGTTCTTTTAATTCACAGAAGTTTCTTATTATCCACGTTTTGAAGCCTGCTTCTGTAATTGGAACACACTCGTTCTCCATCAAGCCTTGTTTCGTTGCTGATGAGGAACTGGGATCCCCTGCTGAGGAAGAGGCGTTCTGATCTTGGGTATTCTCAGCCTTTTTTGACCGTTTTCTTCCCTTCGTTGTAGATTTATCCATCTGTGGTCTTTATAATTACCGTCTTTGTAATTGGGTTTCTGAGTGGACGTCCAACTTACTGATTCTCAGCGCCGAAATCTGAGCAACCCACTGCACCGACTATATCAGCGGCATTAAGATTGAGGGTGCTTTTCCGACTCTGCACCGAGAACCGACGCTCCGAGGCGCCGGCAAAACCGCCTCGCCGGTCACAAGAGTCGCGCTGGCGACCCGTGGGGCTCCTCCGCTTGGAATCTCCTGGTGCGTTGAGCAACAAGAATTCATGTGAAGGTGTGGCGTCCTCTCCTTTTTTGCGCTTTCAGTGGGAGCTACAATCCCGAGCTGCTAGTGATCAGCCACCTTGGATCTCTCTCTCTTAAAACATTTTTTTTTTTTTAATTTTTTTTTTATTTTTTTGAGACAGGTTCTCACTCTGTTGTCCAGGCTGCAGTGCAGGCATGATCATAGCTCACTGTAGTCTTGATGTGCTGGGCTCAGGTGATGCTCCCACTCAGCCTCCCAAGCAAGTAGCTGGAACTACAGGTGTGCACCACTAAGCTACTTTTTTTTTTTTTTTGATAGAGACAGGGTTTTGCCATGTTTCCAAGGCTGGTCTTCAACTCCTGGGCTCAAGTAATCCACCTCCCTCAGCCTCCTAAAGTGATGGGATTATAGGTGTGAGACATTGCTCCCAGCCTAAAACTGTTTTTTTTTTAAATCAAGAAATTCATATGTGGCAATAAACACTCATGTACTTATCAATCCACCTAAGAAAGCATCAGAAATACAATGAGGTTCCCTCTGCATTCCCTTCCAGTCCCATCCCAGAGTTAACATCTATCCTGCATTTGGTGTGTCTGTCCTTTTTCATATTTTAATACTTTTAATGTATATGTGTATGACTGTAAGTAAGAAGTAGTACTTTACAGGCCAGGCATGGTGGCTCACACCTGTAATTCCAAAACTTTGGGAGGCCAAGGTGGAAGGATCATTTGAGCTCAGGAGTTTGAGGCCAACCTGGGCAATAGAGTGAGACCCCGTCTCTACAAAAAAAATACAAATACTTGGGTGTGGTGGCATGTGCCTGTTGTCCCAGCTACTTGGGAGGCTTAGGCAGGAGGACTGCTCAAGCCCAGGAGACCAGGCTGGGCAACATAGTGAGACCCTATCTTTACAAAAAAATTTTAAAATAGTTTGTAAGTTTAAAAACTTAAATCTTATCAAAGTATGTGTATCCTTTTGTAACATTTTTACTTCACATTATGCTTCTGAGATTTATCCATGTTGATAACTGTAACTCTTAATTCACAAATTTCTCACTGTTGTATGGAATTCTACGGTAGAAATTTATCACTAACCTTCTCTTGATGAATGTTTCAATTCCTTTTTTTCTTTTCTTTTCTTTCTTTCTTTCTTTTTTTTTTTTTTGAGACAGCATTTTTCTCTTGTTGCCCAGGCTGGAGTGCAATGGTGTGATCTTGGCTCACCATAACCTCCAACTCCTGGATTCAAGCGATTCTCCTGCCTCAGCCTTCTGAGTAGATGGGATTACAGGCATGTGCCACCATGCCCAGCTAATTTTGTATTTTTAGTAGAGATGGGGTTTCTCCATGTTGGTCAAGCTGGTCTTGAACTCCCAACCTCAAGTAATCTGCCCACTTTGGCCTCCCAAAGTGCTGAGATTACAGGCATAAGCCACTGCGCCCGGCCACATTTCAATTTCTAAACTTTCTAATGCTGCTGAATGAGCTCTTGTTCCAATTGCTTAATTAGTTCATATTCTATTGGATGAGGTTGATATTGGAGCATGGCTCCAGACTAAACACCAAAAAATGATATGTTTTATGCTCAAGGTGCTTAGAATTGGGGATGAGTAGTGGAGAAGAGAATGATAACAAAAGTATAAAGCAGCCCAATCCATATTAGTCACAAAATTATCTTCTTATTGCCAACCACTCATGCTCCAATTTATTATTATTAGATGAGATAAACTTAGTGCCTACCTGACAGATGATCCCTTGCTGGGGAATTTTTTTTTTTTTAGCGCTTTATTGAGGCATACTTGAAATACAACAAATTGCACATATTTAAAGTATACAATTTGATGAGTTTGACATATGTGTACTGTGAAACCATAACCAAAATCAACATAATGAACATAGTTACTACTTCCAGGTTTTCTTTGCCCTTTTGAGGTTCATAGTTCCCTGTCCTTCACTGTCCCTAAGCAACCACTGATTTGCTTTCTGCCACTCTATAGTGGTTATAGGTTAGTGTGCATTTGCAGAATTTTGTAAAAATGGAACCACAGGGCCGGGCATGATGGCTTACACCTGTAATCCCAGTACTTTGGGAGGCCGAGGCAGGCGGATTGCCTGAGCTCAGGTGTTTGAGAACAGCCTGGGCAACATGGTGAAACCCCGTCTCTACTAAAATATAAGAAATCAGCCGGGCATGGCTGCGAGCGCCTGTAGTCCCGGCTACTCCGAGGCGAGGTGGAGGTTGCAGTGAGCAGAGATTGCTGGAGTGCACTGCACTCCAGCCTGGGCGATAGAGCGAGACTCCGTCTCAAAAAAAAAAAAAAAAAAAAAAATAATGTATGGGGACATGAGGAGTGACTTTTAAATGCTAGTCCACAATGTGACTTCTGATTAGCCCCCAGCCCAGGAATGCCTCCCAAATGCTTAGCTGATGTATTACTCTTCATGTAGAAATATCTATTTATTGTAAGTTTCTTCCAAAACAATCCTTGATGCTGTTGCAGAAATCATAGGTGTAGGTGGATGACTGTATCCACCAATACATTGCTTCTAGAGCATGTATACTTTCCCCAAGATGTAAGATATATTTGGTCTGTCTAGTTGTGGTGTAGCGATATACCTGTCTTGCAGCCACCCAATACTACATTTCTTTATTTAAGTTCCCCCAATAAATCATCCTGTACCCACAAACTGGATTTGCCTGCCTCCTTCTTTGGCTTCAGATCCTTCAGTATTTGGGGGTTGTTTTGCACCTGTGGCCCTTTTGTGGAACCCTATGTTGTTGCATGTATCAACAGTTTATTCCTTTTTATTGCTAAATGTTATTCCATTGTATATGTACACACACTCTCGCTCTCTCCCTTCACAATTTCTGTGCACTAGTGACAGACATTTGAATTGTTTCCAGCATTTGGTTATTACAAATAAAGCTACTTGAACATTTGTGCACAGTCATTTTATGGACATATTCTTTGAGTTCTCTTGGGAAAATATCTAGAAATGGAATGGTTAGTATGGCAGGTATATGCTTAATTTTTAAAGAAACTGCCAAACCATTTTCTGAAGTACTTGTACCATTTTGCAATATGACTGGCAGTATATGAGATTTCCAGGTGATCCACAATCTTACTGACACTTGGTATGATTAGTTTTTGAAATTTTAGTCATTCTAATGGTATCTCACTGTGGCTATAATTTAGATTCCCATTATGACTAGTGATGGCACACATCATATTTTCAGGTGCTAATCTGCTATTCTTTCATAAAATGTTCAAATCTTTTGTCCATTTCTGTTTGTCCTCTTATTGTTGAGTTACAAGAGTTTCTGACATAACTTGAGCTGCTTATACCTCTTGGCTACTGTGACTAATGTTGCTATGAATGTAGAAGCTATTTGGGTATACAAATAGAATGTTTTAATTTTGATGAAATCTAAATTATTTATTTTTATTTATTTTTTTTGAGACAGAGTCTCACCCTGTTGCCCAGTCTGGACTGCAGTGGTGTGATCTTGGCTTACTGCAACCTCCACCTCCCAGGTTAAAGTGATTCTCCTGCCTCAGTTTCTGGAGTAGCTGGGATTACAGGTACATACTACCACACTCAGCTAATTTTTGTATTTTTAGTAGAGACGAGCTTTTGCCATGTTGGCCAGGCTGGTTTTGAACTACTGACCTTGAGTAATCCACCTACCTCAGTCTCCCAAAGTGCTGGGATTACAGGTTTGAGCCACTACACCTGTTTTATTTTTATTTTTTTGAGACAGGGTCTCACTCTGTTGTCCAGTCTGGGCTCACTGCAACTTCCACCTCAAGTGAAACTCCCCCTCAGCCTCTGGAGCATCTGGGACAACAGGTGCTCGAAATTTTTTTTTTTTTTTTTTTTTTTTAATAGAGACAAGGTCTCACTATATTGCCCAAGGCGATTTTTTTTCTTTTATAGTTTGTGCTTTTTGTAATGGACTTACAACATCTTTGTCAAACCCAAGGTAATTTAGATTTCTTTTTTTAGAAGTTACATTATGCACCAGGCGTGGTGGCCTGAGGCAGGCAGATAACCTGAGGTCAGGAATTTGAGACCAGCCTGGCCAACATGGTGAAACCCTGTTGCAACTAAAAATACAAAAATTATCTGAGTGTGGTGGTGGGATCCTGTAATCCCAGCTACTCAGGAGGTTGAGGCTCAAGAATTGCTTGAACTCAGGAGGCAGAGGTTGCAGTGAGCTGAGATCATGCCACTGCACTTCAGCCTGGGTGACAGAACAAGACTCTGTCTCAAAAAAACTCCCCCAAAACCTTTTCTCTACTAAAAATAAAAAAATTAGCTCAGTGTGCTGGCAGACTCCTGTAATCCCAGCTACTTGGGAGGCTGAGGCAGGAGAATAGCTTGAACCTGGGAGGTGGAGGTTGCAGTGAGCTGAAATCATGTCACACTGCACCCTGGGTGAAAACGCAAGTTCCGTCTCAAAAAAAAAGAAGTTATGTTAACTTCTATGATCTACTTTGAGTTAATTTTTGTATATAATGTGAGGTAAAAGTAGAGGTTCATTTTTTGTGCATGATACTCAATTGTTTTAGCAGCATTTGTTGAAAAGAATATCCTTTCTCTAATTTATTGACACTTTTGTTGAAAAACAATTAACCACATATGTTTATCTATTTCAGGACTCTACTCTCTTCCATTAATCTATATGTCTATCTTTGTGTCAATACTATACTGTTTTCATTACTGTATCACTGCAATAATTCTTGAAATAAGGAAATTTAAGTCCTCAAGCTTTGTTCTTTTTCAAAATTGTTTTAGCTATCTCAGGTCCTTTGGATATCCAAGTAAAATTTTAAAGCCTGTTCATCAATTTCTTAAAGGCCTAGTGGAGTTTTGACTGGTATTGTATTTAATTTAGAGACCTATTAGGAGAGAACTCACACCTTAACAATATCAAAGCCTAGGCACAGTGGCTCACACATGTAATCCCAGCACTTTGGGAGGCTGAGGCAGGAGGATTGCTTGAACGGAGGAATTTGAGATCAGCCTGGGCAACATAAGTGATATCTTGGCTGTACTAAAAATCAAAAAATTTAGCTGAGCATAGGAGTACATGTCTGTAATCCCAGGTACTTAGAAGGCTGAGGTGGGGGGACTGCTTGAGCACAGGAGATCGAGGCTGCAGTAAGTTATGACCACACCACAGCACTCCAGTCTGGGCAACTGGAGTGTAGATCCTGTCTCAAAAAACAAAACAAAAGAAAACTAAATGTTACAAACCGAGCCATCCAATCCATGAACATGGTATATATCATTTCCATTTATGTAGGTATTCTCTGCTTTTCAGTAATGTTTCCAAAAATTTTTTGAAAACCCTAGAAATTATTACTGACACCAAGTTAGCTGGTCCACCCCACTTACTCCTTTTCCCTTAGGCCTTCTGGCAGCTCAGTATGTCAGCGACAATCTCTTAGTTCCTTTTAGGCACATATTACCAGGATAACATAGCCAAAAAAACTGTGAAGAAAACTGCCAATAAAATAGGCATCTCAGCCCAGTTTGAGCAGCTATTATTAAAAAAAAGACAACCTGCAATTCTAGCACTTTGGGAGTCTGAGGTGAGAGGATCATTTGAGGCCAGGAGTTCAAGGCCATCCTAGGCAACACAGTGAGACCTCATCTGTAAATGAACTTTTATATACTTTGATAGAATGTAAATTAGTACAGCTGTTATTGAAAACATTATGAAGGTTCCTCAAAAAACTAAAAAGAGGCCAGGCACGGTGGCTCATGCCTATAATCCCAGCACTTCGGGAGGCTGAGGCAGGTGGACCACCTGAGGTGGGGAGTTTGAGACCAGCTTGACCAACATGGTTAACCCCATCTCTACTAAAAATACAAAATTAGCTGGGCATGGTGGCACAAGCCTGTAATCCCAGTTACTCAGGAGACTGAGGCAGGAGAATTGCTTGACTCTGGGAGGTGGAGGTTGCAGTGAACTGAGACTGTGCCACTGAACTCCAGCCTGGACAACAAGAGTGAAACTCCGTCTCAAAAAACAAACAAATAAAAAAAAACCAAACAAAAAAAGAGAACTACCACATGATTCAGCAGTCCCACTACTGGATATATATCCAAAGGAAAGGAAATCAGTATGTTGAAGAGATATCTGCACTCCCATGTTTACTGTAGCTATTCACAATAGCCAAGATATGGAATCAACCTAAGCATCCATTAACAAATAAATGGATAAAGAAAATGTGGTATCTAAACACAATGGAATACTATTTAGCCACAAAAAAGAACAAGTTCTGTCATTTGTGACAACATGGATGAGCTTGGAGAACATTATGTTAAGTGAAATAAGCCAGGCACAGAAAGACAAATACCACATGTTCTCACCCGTATGTTGGAAGCTTAAAAAAAAAACACACACAAAACCAATCTCATAGAAGTATAGAGTAGAATAGTGGTTACTAGAGGAGGGAATAGCCAATAACTTTTTGATTAAGGTATACAAAAGTATAGTTAGATGAGAGAAATATATTCTAGTCTTCTATGGTACTATAAAGTACTATAATCAACAATGATTTATTGTAGTTTCAAATAGCAACTAGAAGAACGGATTCTGAATGTTCCCAATACAATGAAATGATAAGTGTTTGAGGTGACAGATGTGGTAATTATCCTGTTGATCATTACTGACTGCACACATGTATTGAAATATCATACTATACCCCATAAATATAATTATTATGTGTCAATTAAAAATAATAAAAGCCTCCCCCCAAAAAAAGACGTTGAAAAGATTAAGGTCTCAGGTGCCTTCTGAAATGTACTTGTACTAATAGATTAAGATCTGCATTAGTAAGAGCTGACGTGGTAGGAGATGAAAAGCCGGAGGCTTATTGGGCCAAATCCACATCATTTTGTAGGTATGAAAATGTCGCTTAGTAGTACAATCAACATGTGAGCATCTTTATTAAGACAGCACTATAACATGTGAGACAGTATAGAATATGATATGACTGGTTGGAAAATACTTGTTTGGCAGCATTGGTAAGCAACCCTTACATGGTCACCAGAAACTTACTGTTGGACAGGACTGAGCTCGGTTCCAGATCAAATCAAACTTTTCTTCCTGCAGGTTGGAAAAGAATAAAATTAACCTACAAACAGTAAAACACAAAAGGCCATAATCACATTTAAATTCACCAAGACTGAATTCCAGAATTATAATACAACTAAAACAGTCTTTTAAGTATCATCATTTACAAATTATTCATGATAGAAAGACAGGAAAAACCAGACAACTGTTTTGCTGTTTATTTTCAGAATTATGTGTAAAGACTTGGTACACCAATGCTCCAAATGCCCCAGGAAACTCTGACAAGTGTCAGAGATATCAAGTCACTAAGTCAGTTTGAGGGAGAGCTGAGAAGGCCTGTTCAAACAGTGAGTGAGTATCAGAGATCTAAAATATCATGAAAAGTGCAGACTCTTTTTCTGGCTGTTGAATTCATGAAGGATAAGGGTATATATATGTATGAGAGATTAAAAAAAAAAAGAGTGATACCGTCATAACCACCAAAAGGTCTGGCTTTATAACAAATTCCTTCTGTCTATATGTTTTCCTCCTTAAGCTTACACTTACTCATGTAATCTCAGTATATATTTGTGTGCTTGATAGAAACTAAGCCCCCACCCCCACTTCAGAGAAAAACAATTAAATAACTAGCTGATAATCTAGTACTTCAAATGTTTTATTATAGCAGAGGCCAGCAAAACAACATTAAACCGGAGAAGCCAGCAGCATCCCTTCTCTGTCACAGACCTTAATGGTCAAGCAGTAGATGGTGATCATCTCTTTTTTTTTTTTGAGACGGAGTTTTGCTCGTTACTCAGGCTGGAGTGCAATGGCGCGATCTCGGCTCACCGAAACCTCCACCTCCTGGATTCAAGCAATTCTCCTGCCTCAGCCTCCCGAGTAGCTGGGACTACAGGCGTGCGCCACCATGCCCTGCTAATTTTTTTTTTGTATTTTTTTTTTTTTTTGAGACGGAGTTTTGCTCTTGTTACCCAGGCTGGAGGCTGGAGTGCAATGGCTCGCTCTCGGCTCACTGCAACCTCTGCCTCCTGGGTTCAAGCAATTCTCCTGCCTCAGCCTCCTGAGTAGCTGGGATTACAGGCACGTGCCACCATGCCCAGCTAATTTTTTTGTATTTTTAGTAGAGACAGGGTTTCACCATGTTGACCAGTATGGTCTCGATCTCTCGCCCTCATGATCCACCCGCCTCGGCCTCCCAAAGTGCTGGGATTACAGGCTTGAGCCACCGCAGCCTGGCCTTTTTTTTGTATTTTTAATACAGATGGAGTTTTACCATGTTGACCAGGATTGTCTCGATCTCTTTTTTTTTTTTTTGAGACGGAGTTTCGCCCTTGTTACCCAGGCTGGAGTGCAATGGCGCGATCTCGGCTCACCGCAACCTCCGCCTCCTGGGGTCAGGCAATTCTCCTGCCTCAGCCTCCTGAGTAGCTGGGATTACAGGCACGTGCCATCATGCCCAGCTAATTTTTTGCACTTTTAGTAGAGACGGGGTTTCACCATGTTGACCAGGATGGTCTCGATCTCTCGACCTCGTGATCCACCTGCCTTGGCCTCCCAAAGTGCTGGGATTACAGGCTTGAGCCACTGCGCCCGGCTGGTCTCGATCTCTTGACCTCGTGATCTACCCGCATTGGCCTCCCAAAGTGCTAGGATTACAGGTGTGAGCCACCGTGCCTGGCCTGATCATCTCTATGAGCAATTTCAAGAACGGAAAGACCAAGAAAATGCCTCTTACTAAGGAGAATTGCCAGAGAAACAGTAGGAAGAAGCTCCAAGTCAGCTCAGGTATAGGTCACTTACAGACAAGAAGGGAAAAATGCTATGCTAGAGGCCCTGTCTTAAATTTCAACAGCTTGGCTGGAAAATATCAATAAGAAAAAAAAAGGCTGGGCACGGTGGCTCAAGCCTGTAATCCCAGCACTTTGGGAGGCTGAGGCAGGCGGATCACGAGGTCGAGAGATCGAGACCATCCTGGCCAACATGGTGAGACCCCTGTCTCTGCTAAAAAATACAAAAATTAGCTGCCTGTGGTGGCGCATACCTGTAGTCCCAGCTACTCGGGAGGCTGAGGCAGGAGAATTGCTTGAACCCAGGAGGCAGAGATTGCAGTGAGCCTAGATTGCGCCACTGCACTCCAGCCTGGCGCCTGGCGACAAAATAAAACTCTGTCTCAAAAAAAAAAAAAAAAAAAAAGACATTTGGAAATTACTCAGCAACATGAACTTCTACCACGTTCCCTTGTCAGAGGCTTGACTCAGAGACATTTCTAAAGTAGAATGAAGGAAAACAAGAACCATAAATATACCATATGGAGCTTCCAATCTCTGGTGCTCGGGGCATAATAAAAACTCTCAGCGCTGTAAAATGCAGCTTCTCAAGAGGCAATAAACATAGGAAAAGTAAAGGCAACTGCCTGCTAAGGTTAGAGAACTGACTTTCAAGTTGTAACACTTTCATTTTCCCCTCCAAACTACTTACAGGAATAACTGCGTAGACTGTATCTTTTGCTGCAAAATACTGCTGCCAAATCTGTACAAAAAAGAGAGGGGGTCTGTGACATGTGGGTAATCTTTTCAACATGTGCCAAGAAATGGTGATAGCTTTCATTGCTCAGAGTAATACGCTATTTGATAACAGAGAGGAAAAACTCAACATAATGCTTTCATTACTAGCACATGATTACAAAAAAGATTTAATACAATCTACTCTTCTAGATGATGAAACTATAACTCCTAGTAACAAATTCCTGACAGAGAAACTGATTCTGTGACTTTAAAAATCATTCCTCTCAATAAGTGCCTTATGTGTGATAGACAAGTTCTTTTTTTTTTTTTTTTTTTTTCACATTTTTCTTTCCTCCCCAAACCCACCCTCCACAGCCAACTGTGAGCCTTCCCAGAGAGTCAGAACTAGAGTTCAGGGTTCAGAGTCAGGCAGACCTGGATGCGAATCTCAGCTCCAATTATTTACTAGCTATGGTACCTTGGGCAAATTACTGAAAACTCCCTAAATAACATCAATAAAATAGCAATAATAACCTCACAGAATTGTCATGACTAGCTGAAATATTGTAGGTCTGTGCTTAGCTCAGCACTTGTCACAGAATAAACACTACAAATAATGTTAGCTTTTGTTAGATATTGTATTAGGCCATTCTCATACTGCTAATAAAGATACACCTGAGACTGGGTAACTTATAAAGGAAAGAAGTTTAATTGACTTACAGTCCCACAGGGCTGGGGAGGCCTCAAGAAACTTACAATCACGGTGGAAGGGGAAGCAAATGCATCCTTCCTCACATGGTGGCAGGAAGAAGAATGAACAAAAGGGAAAAAAGCACCCTATAAACTATCAGGACTCATGAGATCTCACGAGAATAGCATGGAGGTAACTGGCCCTATGATTCAATTAACTCCCACTGGGTCCCTCCCATGACATGTGGAGATTATGGCAACTACAATTCAAGATGAGATTTGGGTGGCGACACAGCCAAACCATACTAACTATTATTGGCATCTTATAGGCAGCTCTTAAAATCTTGCTTCCAGAAAGTCTTCTACATGTGGAAGAGATAAGGTCTGTTGGATCTGACTATGGTATATACCAATCACAAGTCCTACCTCTGCTTGGCATTAAGGAACAAGGAAGGTATAGTTGACCTTTATGATGCAATACCAAAAGGTAGGGAATAAAAAATTATATAATAAAATTTAAAAATTAGAAAATAGGATCGCGGCGGTGGCGGATCAAGGTGGTGGTGATAGCGCGGCCTTGGGCTCTGGTGTCTCCCAGTCTGCTGAAGCCCGGAGGCCAACACCATGGACTTCCAGCATCGCCCTGGGGGCAAGACCGGGAGCGGGGGCGTGGCCTCCTCCTCCGAGAGCAACCGTGACCGCAGGGAACGCCTCCGGCAGCTGGCCCTGGAGACCATCGACATCAACAAGGACCCATATTTCATGAAAAACCACTTGGGCTCCTATGAATGCAAGCTCTGCCTGACACTTCACAACAACGAGGGGAGCTACCTGGCACATACCCAGGGGAAGAAGCACCAGACCAACCTGGCTCGGCGAGCGGCCAAGGAAGCCAAGGAGGCCCCCGCACAGCCCGCGCCCGAGAAGGTCAAGGTGGAGGTGAAGAAGTTTGTGAAGATCGGCCGTCCGGGCTACAAAGTGACCAAGCAGAGGGACTCGGAGATGGGCCAGCAGAGCCTCCTCTTCCAGATCGACTACCCTGAGATCGCTGAGGGCATCATGCCGCGCCACCGCTTCATGTCTGCCTACGAGCAGCGGATCGAGCCCCCGGACCGGCGCTGGCAGTACCTGCTGATGGCCGCCGAGCCCTACGAGACCATCGCCTTCAAGGTGCCAAGCAGAGAGATCGATAAGGCAGAGGGCAAGTTCTGGACCCACTGGAACCGGGAGACCAAGCAGTTCTTTCTCCAGTTCCACTTTAAAATGGAGAAGCCCCCGGCTCCACCCAGCCTCCCTGCTGGACCCCCTGGGGTGAAGCGGCCTCCACCCCCGCTGATGAATGGTCTGCCCCCTCGGCCACCGCTGCCTGAGTCTTTGCCACCACCCCCACCAGGAGGCCTGCCCCTGCCACCCATGCCCCCCACGGGGCCTGTGCCCTCAGGGCCCCCAGGACCACCCCAGCTACCCCCGCCAGCTCCAGGGGTCCACCCCCCGGCCCCAGTGGTGCACCCCCCCACATCTGGGGTCCATCCTCCAGCTCCTGGGGTCCACCCCCCAGCTCCTGGCGTCCATCCCCCAGCCCCTGTGGTCCACCCACCAACCTCTGGGGTCCACCCCCCAGCCCCTGGAGTCCACCCTCCAGCCCCTGGGGTTCACCCACCAGCACCTGGGGTTCACCCACCAGCCCCTGGAGTCCACCCACCAGCCCCGGGGGTCCACCCTCCCCCATCAGCAGGAGTTCACCCCCAGGCCCCAGGGGTGCACCCAGCAGCCCCGGCTGTTCACCCTCAGGCCCCAGGGGTGCACCCACCAGCCCCAGGGATGCACCCTCAGGCCCCAGGGGTCCACCCCCAACCTCCCGGAGTCCATCCGTCAGCTCCTGGGGTCCACCCTCAGCCTCCTGGAGTTCACCCCTCAAATCCTGGGGTACACCCCCCAACTCCCATGCCCCCAATGCTGAGGCCCCCACTCCCCTCCGAAGGCCCAGGGAACATACCTCCCCCTCCCCCAACCAACTGAGAAGCTGCTCCCTTCCCAGCAATCCCGGCCCAGGTGCTCCTGCCTCTCCCGTGGAGGGAAGGCTGCTCTTTTGTACTGTCCCGGCTCATTAAACGGCCTCCCCCCCCAAAAAAAAAAAAAAAAAAAAAAAATTAGAAAATAGGGAAAAAGAAAAAAAATCCCCATAGTCTCACCACCCTAACAAAAATCACTACTATTTTGAGTTATTTCTTTCTAGTATGTCTTAAGAATATTTTTTCTTTTATAGTATATACAGATGTAGCATATAGGCAATTTTTATCATTTACCATTATATTAATAACATATGGATGCTCCATGTTCCTATTTTTTACTACCATTATTTGTTTTTGCCTTCCCATGCCTCTTCACATGTTATTGGCTCTAACTAGAAAGGCTTTCTCTCCCTAATTCTGAACCCCTAAATTCTTCCTGTCCTCTGAAGCTGGACCTATATGCTTCTTCCATATAGTCTCCCTTGATCATTTTAGTCAGTTTTCCTATGAATTGTTTTTCTATTTTATTTATTTTCTCCCACCTGCACTTATATATCTCTCTTAAGATGCCTAGGATATGCTACTTCATAATAAGATCATTTGCATATGGATCTATTTCCCTCACTAGTTTGCAAGGCCCCTGTAGGCAGGTATCTGCTGTATTGTAACCAATGCCTTGCAACCTAAAAAGTACTCAGAAATACTGGTTGAATGGTAGATGATTGTGACCTAATAAGGAACATGTAATACAAAAGAGGCACTTCACCCAGGGTAGGGAAGAGTGCCAGAGGAAAGGACACTTGAACTGTATCCTGAAGAATGATCACGAGTTAGTAGGGAAATAAGGAGGCTGGGAAGATAACAGGTAGGGCAGGAGAAGGAGATAAGAGACACATTCAAAGCAGAGAATGACAACACTAACAAAGGCATAGAAGTAGGAGAGGGTATCATAACTAAGGTGACACTTGAGTGAGCTAGTGTTGAAGAATGGGTCACCCTCCTTTAGAGTTGGTCTGCTTTGTCAACACTCCTGTTAAAATATGAGGCCCCAACTGAAGATACTAATCAAAGTGTGATCCATCTAACCAACACAGAGCAAAAAAGGACTATTAACTCCTAGGACCTATGGAAACTACTCTCAATGTGGCATAAGGTCTTTATCTTTTCTTTTTTTTTGCATGTCAAAACACTGTTTTCTCATTTTAAGGGCAGCATATTCTGACTATTTTTATTTATGATATTAGCATATAGTTTGTGAATCAAAACTGAAATTCATGAGACTGATATTTATTTCCTAATATAGTTGAATTTAGCTACTCATTTCAACAAACAAATTTGTACCTAAAACTATAGGTCTCAATGATATTTATCATATGATCAGGCCTCCTGGGCCTGGCTTCTCTTTCCCCTAAATGACATGTTTGGTTTCCATGTTCCTTAGGTACTTCTTCCCAAAGGCACAGGCTGAGTTCTCCCTGGGACTTTGCATATGCCTCTATTAACAGAAATTATAACGCTGTGTTGATCTTATCTGTTTTGTGGAGGCTAAAACTCCTGAGGATGAGGATTCTCTCATTTATCTCTGTATCTGGCACAGAGTCTGACATTTAATTAGTATGTATTAAATGTGTGCTAAAATAAATAATATAGCTTTCTTTGGATGCTGGCACCCATGGCAACTGGCACAACTTCCAGTTGTGGAAATATGATGCAGCATCAAAGAGACATGGGTTTGAGTCCCAGCTCTATGTACTGACTAAATTACATAATCTCTTTAAGTCAGTTTCCTCAACTGTAAACTGGGAATAATGGCACCCACTTCATGGGATAGTTAAAAGAGAATTTAATGAAATAATGCATATGAAGTATTAGGCATTGTACCTGATATAGAGTATGCTGCTTTTATTATTATTTTGATCCTTTCAGTCTACCTAATATATAATTCATGGAACTATAAAGAATGCCAAAAAATAAAAAATAAAAAAGCTTATTAGAAGAGAATTCTTCTCTAACTATTAGAGAATTAGAGAGAAAAGAATCACAGGTATAAAAATATAAATGACCAAACAGGCAGGATAGCTCATAAATGCTTTGAAGGAACATGTTCAGGAAACTTCCTGCAGAAGGTCCTGTGATAATGGAGAATTATGAATGCCAAGAAAATGAATATAGGAAGTCACTGAACGCTTGTGACCAGGTTCCTAACACAGTATTTTTCATTTATTTAAAAACATAAATATAACACTTTCGAACTGTGACAGGGACTGTTCTAAGTGCTTTATAAATGTTAACTCATTTAATTATCCAAATAACTCTATGAGGTAAGTATTACTATTTGGTCTACTTTAAATAGGGAAACTAAGGCCCAGATGAGTTGATTAACTTGTCCAAGTCCTATAGCTAGTAAGTGGCAGAGCTAGGACTTAAAACTGGCAGCTTGATTCTAGAGTCTGTATTTTTAAACCCACACACTATACTTCTCCATAATGAAAGGAAAAGTTTCAGAGGACTCAGTTGATGAGAATATTATGGGTGGAGTGAAAAAAAAAATAGGAGCAGGGAAACCTATTTGGAAAGGGAATGCAGTAATCCAGGTATAGATACTGATGAGGGTTACAGGAGGTGTGGATTACAGGAATGAAAAAGAAAGGAGAAATACCAGTTGATTGGACATATGAGAGTGACAAAGATGACAAATTTTCTTATGACATTGTTCTTCAAGTAACTCATCACTTTTGCCTGTTATTATTACCTTTCATTATGGCTAGAAAGAGGTGTCAGAAAATGTACTCTCAGATTTGGTTCACAGAATTCACATTTTCATAGAGCATGCCAACCCATTTTTCATTCATTACCTGTTTTATTTCTTCTGCAGTTTTCTCTTTTACCATCTCAATGTTAAAGATTGAACTGAGAGTCTTGAAAGAGAAAATAAAAAGCAATGAACACTTACAATTAAAAATCAAAACAGCTTAACTCTATCTCTAAGCCTGTGGCAAACATGCCAGGACAGTAAAACAGATTTCCAATAAGTAGAAAACAAGTATAAGAAAACCCACATCCTCAGAGAAAGTGAGCCCCCAAGCCCAGATAGGTTTTCATAGTTCTTTTCCCGAGGAGTATCTATTAGGTCGCCATGTACTTTCCAAATACTTCACCCTTACCGAAGAGTCCTGCAACACTTTGCAGCTAGTAAGAGAAAGTTTGGTTGTTATTTTTAATTAAACTGCTAATGCTATAGGGGTCATGGTCAAGGACACAAAGTTCATAGAAATATTTCTCACTTCTACAGCTGGAAAACCACCTTACACAAAATTACTGAACCACAGTACTTATGTTCAAATTTGCAGCCTCTTGTTATAGATGTCCCATATGACTTCAAACTTTTTTCCTATATTTAATTAAAAACCTACCTTGTCCTTAGTGAATCCTCTGCTCACAGACTGTTTCCCCAAGGCATCTGTCTGAAATACGTGATGAGACAAGATATTAATCTACACTTTACTCATAGGAAAAAAGGTCACCAAGGTAGGTGAGGTACTCAATCTCATTAAATAATTTTGCATGTGAGACCTCACTTCTCACCACTTTTTATAATAATTGTTCTAAAAATTTAACACTGTTCTAAAAGTTATTGTTGGCCAGGTATGGTGGCTCATGCTTGTAATCCCAGCACTTTGGGAGACCAAGGCAGGTGAATCACAAGGTCAGGAGTTCGAAAGCAGCCTGGCTAACATAATGAAACCCCATTTCTACTAAAAATACAAAAAATTAGCTGGGCGTAGTGGTGGGTACCTATAATCTAATGCAGTGTTTTTCAAACTTTTTTACTCAGGAGGCTGAGGCAGGAGAATTAATTGCTTGAACTGCACTCCAGCCTGAGTGACAGAGTGAGACTCCATCTTAAAATAAATAAATAAAAATAAAAATTTTTCTTTATAAGACAACGACTTTCCTCTAAGATTCTGAGATGCAGAGAGAAAATTTCTCTATCAGTAAACTATCATGTACTAGTACAAGAGTCCACTCTCCACCTGCCACTATGGATATGAGGGATTTCTTTCCAAAGTTAGGCCTGTTTTGGATTACTGTGCTCTGTCCTGCCTATTCCACACTAAGCCATAGAAGAGATAAGAAATGGAAAGATGTGTTATCCAAGGATACTGCTTATCTCTGACAACACTTTGATGGCAGGCATCTTCAGCAGACTAGAGTCTTTTTGAGTGTCCAATCTTAATGTTTCCTCCACCAAATTAGACTCCCTTCAAAAAAGGCCCACAACAACTGAAAGTGATTATTTTGTCTCTTAGCCATGATCTCTGATAAAGGTCATAGCCAGTAAATCCTGTTTTGAGTTGTTTCTGATCAGAGAGATGGGTTGTTCTGAGTCTTCCACTCAATCTTTAAGTTCAAGGCTATACTTCTCAGAAGTACATTCTACACCTGGGATTCTGGAGCAGAAAAACATTTTCTGCATAAAACTTTGCCTTTAGTCACTCTGTGCTTTAATTAATCCACACTTGTCATAAATAATGCTCTTAGAAATTGTACCCACAAATTAGAAAAAAGCCTGTTGAACATATTTTAGTCTTTTTGGTCATGCTCCTATACATTGACAGCATTGTAGCGTAGCTGTTCCTTCATATGTAAACCATCTAAAAAGAGATAATTACATTTTCTTTCTTTCTTTTTTTGAGACAGGATCCTGCTCTGTTGTCCAGGCTGGAGTGTAGTGGCACAATGTTGGCTCACTGCCAACCTCTGCCTCCCAGGTTCAAGGGATTCTCTCACCTCAGCCTCCCAGGTTCAAGGGGTTCTCTCACCTCAGCCTCCCAAGCAGCTGGGTCTACAGGCATGCACCACCACGCCTGGCTAATTTTTTATATTTTTAGTAGAGATGGTGTTTTGCTATATTGGCCAGCCAAGTCTTGAACTTCTGGTATCAAGTGACCTGCCTGCTTCGGCCTCCTGACATGCTGGAATTACAGGCATGAGACACCATGCCCGACAGGAATTTCATTTTCAGAACACTCACTCTCAGGTGTACCATGAGAACAACAACAAAAACAAAATCTCCACTTGCACAGCTGCTTTCACCTTTCAATCTTGAAGCCTCATGTATTGGTTTTTACACAGTGTTGCTCCAATCTATTCTTTGTATCCATTTTCACTTATAGAATAAAAAATTTAAGCTCTAAGTATAAGCTTATTGCATTTTATCAAACCTAAGACATCATATCTTAAGACGCACCATTATTTCATGCATCAGAAAATGATGCCAATTAAATAGCACAGTATTTTCCTGTCACATCAATTATAAGCAATTTTAGTGATGTTAAAATGAGAAAACGATTATTCTAATGCAGTGTTTTTCAAATGTTTTCACCATGACTCACAGTAAGAAATATATTTTACATTGCAATTCAGTACACATGTATGTATATAATTAACTGAAATTTTTTTTTATAAAATAATGCTTACTTTTAAAACATGCAGTCCATTCTTATTAATTTAAAAACACGGCACTAGAATACTTTTCCCAGATAGTTTTCAACATGCTTTTCCTCAGCTTTGATTCCTATTTAAGGATAATAATGGCTAATATATATTAAGTACTTATTATGCTAGGGACTGGGCTAAAGAGTTTTAAATGGTATTATTTCTTCAGAACAACTCTGTGAAGTAAGTACTGTTATTATTCCTGTTTTACAGATAAGCAAAATGAGTCATGGAGAAGTAACAACTTGCTCAGAGTCACCCAGTTAGTAAGTGGAAGAGCTAGGATTCAGTCCTCGGCATCTGGCCCCAGAGCCCATTCTTTTAGCAGCTAAGATATCCTGCCTCTACTCCTTAAGCCCAAAGAGTTTAATGCCAAACCTATTCTTTACCCTTAACACTTCCCTTTCCATTTTAATTGGGCACAGTACCTCACTGTCTCCTGAAACCCCATTTACTTTCAAAGCTCTTCCTCTTTTTAAGTTAATTCCTCAACATGGGAATGGATGGGGGTGGGTTGGCAGGGGTGGTGGAACAGAACCATATCCATTCATTTACTTACTCTCTAGGCATGCTTTTGCACTATAATGGCAGAGACGAGTAGTCATAAAGAAGACCATATGGCCCACAATGGCTAAAATATTTACCATCTAGTCCTTTATCGAAAAAATTTGGTCACCCCTGCCCTACATCAAAGTCCCACTCCCTCCTCTCTACTTAATTTAAATCCCCCGCAATGTTCCTAGCCTAGGTCCGGTTCCATCTCCTGTGGGAAATTTTCTGACATCCTCTAGCCCACTACCATGCGTGCCTTATCTTGGCCACTAGACTGCTCCTCTTGGGAGCAGGAAGTACCTCTCTCATACTTCTACATCTCCACCATGACCACAGTACCTTGCCCAGAAAGAGCAGGATAAACATTTATGGATGGAAATGGAGTTGGGAGAGATTATGTTCAGTTCATCCAGCTGACTCATCAATAAACCCACATTAAGGATAAGGGTAAAGATAAGGAAGTTGAAGGAGTGCTAGTAAGCAAACACCAGAAACAGGGGCAGGTCTTACCTTCTGTTCCACACATTTGATAAAATCACCTTGCCTGGAATGCCCCACTGGCTGCTTCAGAAATTCACTGCGTTTCTCCAGGCGGGACTCAAAAGCAGCTGGGTCAGACCTGATCAAAGGTAAACCAATGGGTAAACCACCTGGGCCTTTTTGGATTCTAAAGCATCACTTTCTACCTCCACAGAGAAAAGATACTGGTGTTCAGAGAGGCTGAAGAATTTGCATTCAGTTAGTAAGAACTGGGCACAGGCCTAGAAATAAAGAAACTGGAAAAAGAAATCCAGTTATTCAACTGTTGTTAATCCTCAAGGGGCCTGTGTAACATTTTCTTTTGCAGGCTGTTCCTCAGGTTTACACAGGGCTTAGTCCCTCAGGTACTTACATTCAGGGTACTTAGAATTTTGAGGTCATCTTGCTGGATCACCTCTTCAGGCAAGAATCCTACAGCCTCCTTACTAGGTGTCAAGCTTTTACTTGAATACATCTAGTTCTTAAAAATATGTCCCCTCAACCAGGTTAAACATCTGTTTTACTCAGATCCTGATGATTCAGAGGCTTTAGGCAGCCTATTTTGTAGAAAATTTAGCATCTGATTGTCTCTCTGATCCACCAAAGCAGCTGCTCTTGGAAATGAAACATCAGAACACATTCTTTCTGTCAAAATGGGGTTGGTTTTCAGGTGTGATGTCCAGGTTGGGGTGCTGTCCCTATTAAGAATTCTTCAGGCTGTGTTAGCTGACCATGGGATACTTGGCTTTGCACACCTTGATGAAGATATCGTCCAGGGATTCTATCCCCTTGGCCATGAGACCCAGAGTGTCATGGGTGAGGTCTATAGGACCCAGGGACATCTTGGCTATCCCTCTCACGGACTTTCCTGGTCAAGGCACTATAGGGGGCCTTTTCTTCCATAAAATTCCTTTCTGGAGATGACATAAAACACCATTCCCTTCACTGTCAAGTAGATGTGCTATTTTCCTTTTCTCCATAGTGGGCCAGCTCCTCCTCAGTGAAGAGCCATACCAGGGGTTTCTGCTCAGTGGGGCATGGCACCTGCCTGGCGAGAGCTGCAAGCAGCCCTGGGGACTGTACCATGACCAGGGTCAACCCTGCTAGTGGCCACAGCTGCAACTGGGCCTACCATGGTAAAGGGATAGAGAGAGCAAGGTGCAGCCTGGGCAGTGAAGCTTTTGCTGGGATCTGAGGATATAGAAATACATAAGTCAGACTCCCGACCTCTAGGAGTTACCTAGTGGGAGAGAGTCATAAAAGTAAGCACATGAAAGTGCTACAGGTATTACAATGAAAATTTGCTCAAATGTACCCAAATGATTCACGTGGTTTCATGCCTCTGTACTTTTGTTTATGCTGCTGCTCCCCTTACCTGGAACATCCACTCCCCTCTTTTTTTTTTTTTTTTTTTTTTGGTGCTATGGTGCTCAAAGGAAGTTTGGTAATAGATAAAGCTAGAGAGAGACTGGCAGGGGCTAGGGTGTGAGGAACTTGTGTGGAACATTAAGGAGTTTAGATGTTATTTAGAGGTCAGTGGGGGGATAACAGTATGTGTAAATGTTGATGGGAATGATCCAGTAGGGAAGGAGAGCAAAACCAGTCATTCATTTGTTCATGAGTGGGTAAGAATGAATAGATGCTGATAAAATATTCAAAGTATGAGTAGACAACTCTTCAGAGATGCTTGTGTGTAAAAGAGATCAAATACAGATCAATGTGAGAAGCCTGGAGGGGAATGCATGTCAAGGAAACTTAAGATGACAAATACCTGAGAATATCTCAATGCTTTTGGAAGGAGAGCAAAGATACTCATTCATTTACTGCATCACTGTTTCAAAAGGTGAGAAAGATCACTGTAGTAGCAGTGAGATGAACTGGGATAAAGGGGTCCAAGAATGAAAGCAGGGAACACTAGTTAGAGGATAACAGTAAGAGCCCAGGTGAAGATGATGGAGTAAATTAAGGCAGCGGAAGTAGAGATGAGACAGAACTCAAAGAATTTACAGTACTAAATCTTTGGTTTCCTTTAATACAACAACTGCCTTCTTGCCCTGCTAAATTCTCTCCCAAGCCCCTTTAATTTTCACCTCTGATCTATCTCCCTTAGCTCTTCCCACTTGAACTCTTGACTCTCCTATAGTCCCTCACATGCACCTGAAGCCCCTCTAAGCTCCAGATCCTTCCCTGTGGAAGCTAAGGGGTGGTGCTAGGAACCTCGGACTCAGAGTCAGACAAATCCCAAACAGCTGTGTGACCTTTGGCACGTCTCTTTCTCTCGCTGGTCCTCAGTCTCCTTATCTTATTGAGAGGATTCAATGGGTGATCCGACTGTGACACTATTAGCCTTTGATGCCCTCCTCGTATCCCCAATCGCCTTTCCTTGCAGTCAAGGGCCCGAGCTACCACCGGCCCGATAGCTCCAGCTCTGGGCCAGGCCTCAGCTGTCTCAATATGTAACCTTGAGCAAGTCAAGTCGCTTCTCTAGAAGTCGTTTTCCCATTTCTATAACGAGGACAGGTCTTTCTGAGCTGCCTGCCTCACGACTGTCCTAAGAGTCCACTTTAGCGTTTGGAGAACCAGAGCACAGACAAACGTGGAACGAGCCAGGGCTTTGTAGAGATTCCCAGCTCTGACACCAACCAACTGTGTGATCTTGGCCAAGTGACCTAGCCTCACGGAGCCTGGCTAACATTATCTGAAGAGCCGGGACGGTATTAGTGCCCACCTCAAGTCCTAAGGATCAGCAGCCCGGGCCGCCCCTCCTCCCGCCTCCTTGCCCGCCGCCAGCCAGCTGGGGCCCGCACCTGCGCAGCTGCTGGATCTTGTCGCGGTAGCGGTCGTAGAAGGGGTTGGCCTGGAGCTCAGCCTCGGCCCCTACTCCGCTGCCGTCGGCGCCCCCCTCGGGCGGGCCGGAGCCGCGGCGCACCGAGAACACGCGCAGCTGCGCGGGTGACACGAGCCCCAGGCCCAGGGCGCGGCTGCGCACCGCGCACAAGCCCCGGTAGAGGCCAGCCACCTGCAGGACCGCCGGCCCCGCGCCACCCGCAGCCGCCACCACCACAGCAGCCATGGCAGCCCCCGCCTCCTCCTCAGGCGCGTCGGCCTCTGCCCGCGGCCCGCGCGTCCGCTCCATCCCTCTCCGAGTGCGCCGCTCCCGCGCTCGGGCACTGAGGTTCCGCGCGCCCAAGGTTCCGGGCGCGGCGCAGAGGAGGGGGCGCGCCGCTCTGGCCCAGGCACCGCGCGCTCTCGCCGTCCTGTCTGCTACGGCCCGCCTCCTCCTGGGAGGCTGCCCAAATTTACGCCCTTCCTCCCTCTGGGACCAGCAGCCTCTGCGCGCCAAGTCCGCTCTCTGAAGCCAGCAGATCTCCAGGTCCTCGCGGTGCTTGCTCCGTTTTAAATGTACCTGGCAGTGGCTGTAGTAGTCTGTCCTTCGGCATCGAAGGTCCTTTCATCAACTATAATCACAGCAGCACGCCCCTCTTAGTATACTGAGGTTGCTATGTGCAGGACACTGATTGGCTTCACACACTGTGTGGCAGGTATTATCCTCATTTAACAGATGAGGAAACTGAGGCCGGGAGTCATTATGTGACTTGTTCAAGTTCTACCCGAGAGCTGAGCTCTTTTCAAGATGGCAGCTGACTCCCAAGCCTCCTTTCCCTCTGCTTCCTGACATCCACCTTGAACTCCAGCCAAACTGATCTATTCTCTCCCAAAGAAACACCACGATTACTCCTTGAACTTGAAGAGTCCTTATTCAGGCCCTTTTTGACCCCCCAGAATGCTCTCTCCTTCCATTCTCTCAACCCAAATGCCACAATCTTCTTTACCCTCTGAACAGGTGTGAGCTCCTGGGGTCAGAGACAGTGACATCAACATCTCTGTGTCCCACCTGCTCACAGAACAGGGCCAGTCCTGGAGTGGGCTCTCTGGGACAGTACTCATCATCAGGTCCTTTTTGTCTGATTGAAACCCCTCCTGGGACAGGGGCAGAGCCTTCAACTCTGCTCAATCCAACCTATGCTCATGGAGATCAGCCCTGTGCCCTGCCCTGTGTGAAGAACAGTGTAATGGAAGATTAACAAGTCCTTCAGTATGCCAGCCCACGCGCCTCATACTTGCTGTTTTCTCTGCGGATCTGCAGGTGACTGCCTCCTCATGATCTAAGGGCTCAGTTCACATGTCAGCACCTCAAAGGGACCTAAATGACCAATCACACCCCCCCCACCGCTGCCTCTTTAGAGTCTATCCCATTGCTCTATTTCATTCTCTAATCATAATCTGAAGTTCTTAGATCCTTGTTTATATTAATTCATTGAGCTTACATTCTAATGGAGAGAAACAGACCATAAATAAATAAATATATAACATTAGATGATGCAGAAAAACAGCAGGGTGAGAGAGATAGAGATAGGGGGACACTTGAGCAGAGATCTGAAGGTAATGAGGGAATGCTGGGGGGAAGTGCCTTCCAGGCAGGGGGAACAGCAGGTGCAAAGGCCCTGAGGAGGAGGTTATTGAGTCTGAATGAGTGAGGGCACAGTGGTAGAAATGAAACCAAGAAGGTATAGGGAGGGTGAGTTAGATTGCTCAGGCCTTGGTTAAGGACTATGATTTTGAAGCTAAGTGAGATCGGAAGTCACTGTATGTTTTAAGCAGAGGAGTAACATGATCTACTTTTTGGCTACTGGTGGAATTTAGGGTATGTGGAGGCAAGGATGGAAGCTTTTCCAAGGGTGACTAATTTGTCCTAGCTTGCCTAGGATTTTCTTGGTTCTAGCATTGGAAGCCCCATGTCCTAAGAACCCCCTCAGTCCTGGGCAAACCAGGATGTTGGTCACCCTACAGGGAGAACAGTAATCCAAGTGAGAAATGGTAGTACTTGGACTAAAGTGATAGTGATTAAAAAAAAAAAAGTGGCCAGATTTTGGTTTTATTTTGAAATAAAAGCCTAAAGATTTTGCTGATGGAGTCAGTGTGGGTGTGATAGAATGAAAGGAGTCAAGGATAACTTGCAAGTTTTTGGCTTGAACAACTCAAAGGACAGAGATGCTCCCTATGAAGAGGAGGAAGGCTGTAGGTAGAGTAGACTTTGGAGGATGATGATCAGAGTCTGGTTTTGGACATGCCAGTTGGGGATAATTTAGCAGACTGGCAAGGAGAGATGTCAACCAGGTATTTGGTTATGAGTCTAAAGTTCTGAGGAGCATTCTAGGCTACAGAGATACAGTTGCACACTGTCAGTGTCTAGTGATATTTAAAGCTAGGAGTCTGGATGAGATAACCGAGGGAAGGAACGTAGATAGAGCACTAAGAACTGAGCCCTACGACATGCCTACATTTAGAGATCAGGGAAAAAGGGAGAAACCGACAAAGGAGACAGAAAAGCAGGGGCTGGTGATACAGAAGGAGAGCAAGGGTAAGCGGACCCTGGAGAGAATTCTGTGTTAAATAGTTCCCTAAGTCACACACTGGAGGATGATAAAGAAGGGAGCCATTAAAATGGTGCCAAGAAGCTGAGCTATGAGCAGTGGTACAACCTACTGGAAAGGCTGACTTAAGCTTAATTAAGAAAGAGTTTTCTAACTGAGCTGCCCATAAATGTAGCAAGCTGCCTCAGGAGACCCTCACTTGAGTCAGGAACTCACTCAGTCCGGGGGGATTAGTTGCTGTGTAGGGAAAGTTCTACCCCTAGGACTCTAGCATGATCCTGATGGTGTGACCAGATGGTGGGAGTTGAACTAGACAGCTCTCAAGTTCCTTCAGACTGGAGATGATGTGATTCTGGGCAGTTTGTCACAGAGTAGGGGGGTTGAGCTGAGTCTTGAAAAATGAACAGGTGTTCAGTGGTGGAAAAGTGGGCAGGGGCACTCCTGGGTGAAGGAGCAGCATGATCATATCTCCAGAGATGTGAATGAGCAGGGTCTGTTCAGGACACTGTACTGGGCAGATGGGAAAGGTGTGTGGAGGATGGGGAGGGAAGTAAAGCTGTAAGGAGATGCAGGCCAGATGGTAGGGAGCCCCACAGGGTCTGGTGCTTCGGACACACTTGTTAGCACTTGAAGGAAGGTAACTAAATAAAAGAGAGATTGTTGGAGCCCAGGAAAGGAGGTATTGACCACTTGGTTCCCTTCTGCAGGTTTTCTCCTGCCACTTGGTTAGAGACTTTTTGAGGGCAGGGCTGCCCAATGCTGTGTGTTCCCTGTTAAATTCCTCACTGGAGACAGGTATCCCATCCACTGTTCCCTAAAGACCAGTAACATCAGTAAGTCCCTGAGGGATAATGACCCTTTCCTGAGGTCTCCTCTGTGGGTTCACCGTAAGGGGTAGGGTCAGACAATTCAGTCTCTGATAGAAGTAACAGAGACACTCCACCCAAAAAAATTCCACTGAAGTCCCCTCCTTCCATTAACTCAGGACCACTTCACAAGCACTGCCCCTAGAATGCCCAATGTTCAGAACCCAGTGACCTTTCCTTTAGAGAATAAAGGGCCTGGGCATTCTGGAGACTCTGATTGGGTGGGTGAGCTCCCTCTCCCCAGAGCCACCAGCCAGGTACCAAAGCTCAACTGTATGGATTCCCAACAGGAGGACCTGCACTTCCCTGGCAGTAAGTGCTCCTTCAGTCCCTGTCACTGCACTTGTGCCCTAGGACTTGGGTATAAACACTTAGGGAAGGCCCTTTGCCTGGATAGAAGCAGTTAGGAGATAGTCTACTCTAGATCTGATGAACGAGAGACGATATTATCAATAGCCCAGGACCATCACAACTTAATGGAATGGAATGGGACATTGGTATCTCTGTCAACTGGTGAACTTTTACTTTTTTTTAAGCAGAGTTTCACTCTGTCGCCCAGGCTGTGGTACAGTAGCATGATCTAGGCTCATTGCAACCTCCACCTCCCGGATTCAAGTGATTCTCCTGCCTCAGCCTCCCAAGTAGCTGGGACTACAGGCATGCACCACCACACCTGGCTAATTTTTATATTTTGAGTAAAGACAGGGTTTCGCCATGTTGGCCAGGCTGGTCTTGAACTCCTGATCTCAGGTGATCTGCCCACCTGGGCCTCCCAAAGTGCTGGTGAACTTTTACTTCTTGATGGACTTGCCCATAGTAAAACTTCTCAGTCTGATGGATTGGATGGGTGCTGGGTTAGGAACCAGAGGCTTGACTGAGCCTGGGCAGCTCATGCCTCCTCTAAGACCTAGCTTTTCTGATCTGTAAAGAGTTAAAGGTGGTGCTTAAGTTCCCTGGAAATCCAGCTTTGACTGAATAAGAGAATGATGAGGCAAGTCAATGAGGGAGGGAAGGAATGGTTAGTGTAGTTAAGTGGATGAAGTGATTGATGAAAGGGTTAAGTGAAAGAGGAAGGAGAAACAGCTCAGACCCCAAGCTACAGCTATCAGCCAGCCTGACTCTTTCTTTCTTGCTGTCTTAGTGTGGGTCTCATTGTACTTTGGATTCCTGGGGCTGTGTTCGGTGATAACTGGAGGCTGCATTATCTTTCTGCACTGGAGGAAGAACTTGAGGCGGAAAGAGCATGCCCAGCAGTGGGTGAAGGTGATGAGAGCTGCCACATTCACCTATAGCCCATTGTTGTACTGGATTAACAAGCGACGGCGTTATGGCATGAATGTAGCCATCAACACGGGCCCTCCCCCTGCTGTCACCAAGACTGAAACTGAGGTCCAGAATCCAGATGCTCTGTGGGAATTGGACATCCCTGAAGGCAGGAGCTATGCTGACCAAGACAGCAACCCCAAAGTGGAAGCTCCCACTCCCCTGCAACCTGCGCTGCAGCTAGCTCCACAGCAGCCTCAGGCCAGCTCCCCATTCCCACTTCCCATCTTTCAGGAGGTGCCCTTTGCCCCACCCCTGTGCAACCTACCCCCCATGGTGAACTACTCTGTCTCCTATCCTTCGGCCACCTGTTCTGAAAGGAATGTTCGCTTCCTTTCCCTCCCTAATCTGGCCCATGAAGACCTCAGCTTCAATGCCAGGCCTTTTGCTTCAGAATTGTAGCCTCCTTTCACTGAAGGTGAGAGCTGCAGATATCAGGTGCAGAGTATGAAATGGAACTAAGCTCAGGGAGGCAGTATTGACAGAGGTCAGGACCCATCTGAATGTCATGCTATGAAAGATTAAAAAAACAGAAACAAAAACTCCAAGGCTCCCTCTGGTCTCATCTGCTGTTAGGAGGACAATGTCCTTCCTGTGTGAAGGGGTCACTTTGCAAACCAAGTTGGTCGCTGAGTCTCACCAATATGAATTGGCATTGGAGGTTGGTTGCCGGGAGACATACTCAATCAGTACTTGTGAGTGGACTCAATATCCCTCTGTTCAGTATTTAAAACAAAGTGCCTTGGCCTACGTACCCCCAAGGCCCTGCTGTTCTATGGGATGTGAAGCACAGCTGCCACAAGAGTGGTAACTTCTTAGGGCACATGAGTATGGTGATTTATAGTGGCTATGTCACAGGCAAAACGAGTCACCACGAGCCCTGAGAGCCACACTGCACTATGGGCTGAATTGTATTCTTTATTATCTATGATGTATGGAGCTCTCACGTGGTTGCCTCTGTACATTATTTTTAATAATTCACAAGAACACTGCCAAATGGATTATCACGATCCTCCTCTTACGGATGGAGAGACAGGTTCCAAGGTATATGCCATACCTTTCTTAGTTGCAGAGGCAGTTCCCAAATCTACATCTGCCTCACATCGAATCTACTGGTATCATCAGTTGCCTGGCACCAAAGGTACTGATCTTCCCACCATACACCATAGTGCCCCTGCCCTAATGATATGTTGTGTTAGAAAACGCTTGGTGAAGGCTTTGGATTGTATGTAGGGTGTCATTAAGTTGGTCCACGAATTGGCTTGGAGTAAGGGCTGGTCAGTGAACTGCCTAAAATTATACATAGATATGTATCCGTAGTTTTTACCTTTCCTTCAAGAATCCATGTCTCCCTCCCAAAAGTTAAGATCCACCACATGAGAATATTAATTGTTGTACTTCTGGAAATGGTTGTATAGCCATTTACATAATGACTGAGGGGGAAGGTCACCAGATTCTGTGCTGGGGGAGGGGGAGGAGATATCCAGAATCTAGAAACATGTATATACAGTTATCTTTTTTCTGTGTGTGAAAAAGCTTTAGCTCCTATATGACCCCTTTCCAGCAATGGAGTTTAAGTTTTTTTTTTTTTTTTTTTTTTTTTTAAGGTAGTAGAACATTTAGGGCAAACATGCTTTAAATAGAATCTCAAAATATAAAACAGGCCTAAGTGGAGCATCTTGGGTAAACAGAGGGGCAGGGCTCATTCCTGCCTCACCTCGCCCCTCCCATCCTCTGGATGCATAAAGCCTGAACCTTGAGGCCTCTCCTTCTTCAGGCCAAATACTGCAGTCCTTAGGGCAGATTCTTAATTACTTTGGGCCCATTATGTGTTACTCCTTGCTTTCAAAAGGAGTAAGGCGTCCATAACAATAGGAATCAAGGCAGATTTTTTTTCCCCTTAGAAATCACAGGGGAATGAAAGAGGCTTTAGTCAGACACATAGAGAGAAAAAGAAATTTTTTTATTTAGCTAAATTAAAATGGCTGTGTTACTTATATGAAATATGCAAAGCTTAAATCAAGTCATGAAAATCCTGAATTCTCCCTAAACAGAACCAAAACTGCTTATACATTACCAAAATAGCTCCACTAAAAGAAAGATTTAAATTTCTTAATGTGAGAAAACAACAAGGTAGGTTAGGTTCGTATAACAAACAATACACGCTCTATAAAGTCTCAGGAATACCCAAATGTGTTCTGGTTTGGATATGAAAGAGGAACCTCATCTAGCTGGTGTTGGTAAGCAAGCCAATGAGGTGTGCAGCAAACAAAACCTGTCACTAAAAACAACTCAACAGGCCATTATGAGTATGAGCCCATCACAGCCAAAATCCTCAACTGTGACCGGCAGGACCAGCAAGCGGGGGGTGTTGAAGGGGTTATGAACAGGAACTGTAAAAAAGGAATCTTTAACGGAAGGGAAAATGGCCAGCAGTAGGTGAAGGGAATCCACTCTTCAGCTCTGTTGCATCAGATACATTCCTGAGGGCTAGGTACCTCTCCGCCTTTTAGATGACACCACAGACATCTTGAAGTCAGGTATTTTCTTCTCGTTTTTCTTTTTCTATACTACCTTTTTGCCTCTCTGATTTATAGGGAGGCTTTTTTAGTAAACATTATACAAGATGGTGCAAGGCAAAAAAAAAACAAAAACAAAAAACAAAACAAGGACCAAGAAGCAGTGCTTTCTTAACTTAGGAAAGCAGCAGTAGGAGCTGCCAGACTGAAAAGGTAAAAGGATTTAAAACCAAAACCAAACTCACTACTGCTATCCAATCTTCCTCAGAGATGAGATATGGCTGGTGAGGCTTGACTACAGCTGAATACAAGTCACAGGCTCGGTAAGTTAAGATAGCATACAAATAAAAGTCCCAAATTCACACTAAATAGGCTTATGGGACTCTTAACCCCGTGAGTCTGCTCAACTCAGAAGAAAGGAGTTCAAGATACCCTCCTCTTGCTTGGAAGATATGGTACTTTCTCAGGCAGGATGACAAGGATATTCAGAGATCTGAGAGCGCAGCATAAACACCTCTGCCAAACTCGGTAGGGGGAGAGGATGGCACTACACACCAGCTCAGGGATGATACTAGTCAGACAAGTGCAAGGCAGGAAGAACAGAAGATAAACTAAAAAACAAACTGGACTCCTCCATGTATAGCTATCTGATGCAAGGGAAAAGTACACACAATGAAGAGTTAAGGTGTCTTCAAAGTATCTGCCAATGAATAAGAATTTGAAACTAAAAAGGACAAGCTACATTACCCTCAAGTATATTTCATATAAATCAGTTCTCAAAAAAATACCTTCCAGGTACAGACATACTATCTATGGTACAGTATATACAAATATAGCAGTATAATTCAATTTATTGCTAGAATTTTATTTGGTTGTTACAAAATCTGTAAAGGTGTATATATATTAAAAAAGGGCGTGGGGTGAGAGTGGATGGAAGGCAGCCAGAAGAGTGAGAATTATTTTCAAGTTACCTAAAGTGCCAGGCTAATTTATGTTTTAACCTTTCCAGGAAAGTGAGATGGAGCATAAGCTACAATGATATAAGTGGACACATTCATGGGAAAAGATTTTATCTTGCTTAAACTAAATTTTAATACTTTTAGAAAAAAAAAATTTCAGGTTAGTCAACACCAAGCTGAACATCATGTAAAGAAAAAAAAACCAGCCCTTAAATGTTTAAGGGTACTGCACTGTATCTACAGCTGAAGGGCAACCTGAACAAAGTTAAAAAGGAAATGATCTCCACTAAAGAAATCTGTGCCATGAAAGCTTCTCTACTTTCTCCCTGACTTGGCCTATAGCAAAGTTAAGTTTAGTAGTTTTTTTCCTTTCAAATTGTTGCCCAAAGACTGCTTCGAAGAACAACACAGCAATTCTAGACTCAACATACAGTTGACATAGAGGTATTACTCCTTTTAGTCTAGGACTTTTCATGCCAGGTCCACAGAAGTATTTAAAGGAAGTATTAGACTTGCTTGTATTAGATTTGAAAAACTTGCTACCACCGTGTGAAGGCCCAGCTCTCTTTGGAAAGAAAGCCTCTAGCTACTTCTGAGCTGATAATTGTAAGGAAACTGAATATTATTTCACATGTTTCGTCTCACAACCTTTTTAGCCTTAGTCATCCCCCAGAGAAACATATCAGACACTTGGTTAGCCTCTAGGTAAAATCTCAAGGGGTATAGTTTTCTGGGTCAAAACTAGAAGCATGGCTCTTTTCTAAAGCTCTGGGTGGTCAGCATGAGGCAGCGGCTAGGGGAATTTAGCCCTGCCATTCAAAATGGAGATGGTACTGGTGGTAAAGCTGTCTTAAAGCCAGCTATGGCTTTAAGATAGACTCAAGTGGGTGGGTAGGGGAAGGCAATCTAGCTCACTTAGCGGGGAAAATGGAGCTTCCCAATGGATAACTTTTTATGCTCATAGACCCTGAAATAGAGAAAAAACCCCAGCAAGACTTCTCTGATTCCCAAATTGGGATTAGCTGAGGGAATAGGAACAAAGAACCAGAATCCTACTTTCATGAGCCATGCCTGGAGTCAGCACTACCTCTAGTGTCTACTCCCTGAAACTGGTTCCCCCAGCTACCAGGTCAAGCCCCCTGGCAGCACCTAGGCCTTTGAGGGATACCTTATGGATGCATGGATGCAGTTTCAGCTGCCACCCACACCAGATCAGCAATTTAAAATAAGTCATTTGTTCACATCCTGTTCTAAACCATTCTTCCAACTTTTCACACAATACGCACAATGCTTTCTTTCATTTAAATATTTACAAGCAGAAAAGGCCTATCTTGTAAAGAAAAGACATTTTCTGAAACTCTATATAAAGTGCAGCTAATTTAAGGCAAATTTAAGTGAAATATAAAAGGTGGCTTATTCTCTCTCTCTATACATTTCCCAGCTTTAAAAGATAGTCTCCTCCCCTCAAAAAAAGGAAAGAGAAAAAAAAGAGGGCTTTAATTTTTTTTTTTCTGGCAATTTTAAAATGTAAGATATTACTGGTTTTAGGAAATCATAGATTTCTGAACATCATATTATAAGTAAAATGGTCTTTTTTAAAAAAATAACTTTTATATAGCTTCTTCAAACAAGTTAAAAGGTGGCAAAGTATCTGCTACAATAGTTTGGAGGACTAGAGGACTGATGGTTAACAGCTGTTTTGTTGTTAGGTAAGTGGATATTAGGCAGTCTATTTCTAAAATATGCCGGATGAGGCTAAACACCTAAAGCTACCCTTAGTTCCAGGAATGAGTATCTTCCATCTCCATCGGAATCAAATGCTCTCAAGTTCTCTGGTTCTGGCACAGCAGAAGAACCTAGGGAGGTCCAGATTTCCTGGTAGGTCAGCTTCCCATCCACGTCCTGGCCAGTCTTGTGGAATAAATCCTGAAGATCTGTCAAAAATGAATGATAAAAAATGTATATGCCTAAACATACTGCTAAATTTAATTAAAAGTAGTCTCAACTGAATTTAAAACACTAAAAGAAAAGGTACTCTGCAAATTTTGT